TCTACAGAAATCTTTATCTGTAAAAGCAACAACAACAACACACACACACACAGAGGAGTGAATTGTATTTGCTGAAACATGATGTGAGCATCTGTTCAAGGGTGTGCTGCATAGAATTTAATAAAAAAGACAAAATTATGGCAGAAGTTAGACTTGGCAAGTGTTAGCAGATATTTAGAAAACATGGCATTGAAGGAAGGAGCAGGCAGAGCATGGCAATCTAGCAGTTAAGATTTGAGGGTCCTTATCACAACCCTTGAGGATAAAGGACTGGAGAGATGGCTCAGCAATTAAGAGCACTGGCTACTCTTGCAGAGGACCTAGGTTCGATTCCAGCACCCACATGAAGTCTAACAACCATCCATAACTCCAGTTCTAGGGGATCTGGCACCCTCTTCTGACCACAGACAATGTGCAACGTGGGTGCACTTAAACACACATGCAGGCAATACACTTATGCACATAAAATAAAAATGATGAATAGGGGCTAGAGAGATGGCTCAGCAGTTAAGAGCACTGACTACTATTGCAGAAGACCTGAGTTTGATTCCCAGCACCCACATGGCAGCTACAAACCGTCCTTTACTCCAGTTCCAGGGGAATCTGAAGCTTTTTTCTGACCTTGGCAGCATTGCACTACACGGGTGCACCCACATACATGCAGGCAATACACTCATACACATAAAATAAAAATAATAAATAAAATATTAAAAAATGATAAAAAATTTTTTAAAGGAGAATAAGACCGGGCATGGTGGTGCATGCCTTTATTTCCAGTACTTGGAAGGTAGAGGCAGGCAGATCTCTGTGAGATCGAGGCCAGCCTGGTCTACATAGCAAGTTCTAGGCCAACTGGGGTACAGGGAGACCCTGTGTCAAAAGACAAAAATTTCCAAATTTTTCCTAGGGGTGACTGGGAGGGTTGACATAATCCATGCAATGCCTAGTGTAGAGCAGTCTTTTGATAACTTGCACCATGTTAGGAGTTTGGGGGTATCTACTCTTGCCTTATCAAGAATTAAGATTTGACACAATTGTAATCCCAGCACTTGAGAGGCTGAAGCAGGAGGATTGACATAAGTTTAAGTGAAGCCTGGGCTACATAGTTGTAGGCCAGCCTAAAGTACAGAGTTAGACCTTGTCTTAAAGAAGATATGGGTTTGGCATGTGGATTAGTGATGTAGTCCTTGCTTCGCACACATGAGGCCATTAGTTCAATCCCTAACCCTGAGAAAAAGGAGGAAAAAGAACACAGGAGCCAAATAGATTTAGGCCAAAATAAAGTATCTGCTTTATTATTACGTCTTTTGTTTGGTGATTCTTTTGGTGGTGCTCAGATTGAACCAAGGGTCATACACATGGTAAGCAAGTAAACTACGACTGAGCTACATCTGAGCCTTATTTATTGATCCGTGCTACCTAGAAGGGCCTGGTTTAGATAGATTCACAATCATAGTGCACTCATTTGTTTTCCTGAAGTCAGCAAACACATCTAAAGGCAGCTCTGGACAGTTGTGACCTCTTTGGGGGCAGAGCCCATACAAGTGAATTCTTCATAGGCTTAAGAGAGCAGGGTGTACCTTAAAGGGCATCCTTAGCAGACAAATCCCAGAGTGCCAAAGTGGGAAAAGCCAAACCTGCACCAGTCCACAGAAGCTTTCCCCCCTTCTGCTTGCGACTGCCTTGGAGGATGACATAAAGGGAATCTGAGGAGAGAGGGAGTTTTACCCCCCAAAAACTTTCATACACATTTCAAAGGTTGTTGATTTCTTTTGACTTGATGAAGGTCATTTAGAATGTTAAGGCAAGTTAAGTGTTCATTAACTTTTGGATTGTATGCTGGATTTATTGAAATATATTAAGGTCGTTGTCGCTTTTCTGTGACTTTTGCTCATGGCATATGTAGGTGGTGAGGGAGGGATATAGGGCATATAAAGATGGTTGTGGTACAAGTTGGGGCAGCAGAGTCCCATCAATGAAGGAAAATTACTGCCCCTACCCCCCATACAATTATTTATTATTTTTATTTTATGTGTATGAGTATATTGCCTGCATGTGTATAAGTGGACCATGTTGTGCAGTGCCTGCAGAGGTCAGAAGAGGTTGTCAGATCCCTTGGAACTGGAGTCACAGATGGTTGTTAGCTGCCATGTGAGTGCTGGGAATCGAACCAGCACCCTCTGCAAGAGTAGCCACTGCTCTGAGCCATCTCTACAGCCCCTAGACATAATTATTTTAACAAATTTAATGCTATCACCAATGTGGAGGGATGGTGTGCTGAGGATCACCAATTTAGAGAAGGCTAAGACTGATGAGCATGTGGCTTGTGGGCTCTTGTGGCTAGTAAGTAAGGGGTGGCACCAAGGTTTGACTCAGTACCATGTTCTTTTGACCACTATGCCACTTTGCCTCCAAAGTCTCAGTCTGGAAGCTTCTGATGAGGCTTAGATGATGTCAGCCTTAGAATTTTAGAACTGATTGTGGGCTTGCAGTCATCCAATAGACTGTTCTCATTTTATCGTCATAGAAAATGAAGTTCCCAGGACAGACATTGGGAGACCTCTTAGGTTTTCTGCCTTAAAAGTACTGCTGTCTCCTCTGGCTTCCATCAGAATCCAATTCAAGAAGGAAGTAAACTTCTGTGTATACAGGAAAAGGGTCATTTCAGAAGAGGGGTAAAGGGAGCCAGAGAGAAACACAACTTCAAGACTTTGGGGCAAACCCCTGTCAACGTGCTAACTCTCTTTCCCGCACTACTGAGGCCTTCCTTATAATAGCAAAGAACTGCATGAGCATAAAAGCTGGTTATTTATGCTACCCCTTTCCAAATTGTCAAGCTAGTTTCTTTGACAAAGGGGTGTGACTTCCATTAGGCTTAGCCTCACTACTTGATTCTGCAGTGTGCATTATTTCCATAAAATCTTGATTGTGGGGGCTGGAGAGATGGTTCAGTGGTTAAGAGCACTGACTGCTCTTGCAGAAGAAGACCCCTGTTTGAATCCCATGACCCATATGATGGCTAACTGCCATCCATAATTCAAGTTGCAGGGAATCCCACACTCTGACCTCCACAGGCATTACACACATGTGGTGCACTTACATACATGAAGGCAAAACACTCATATACATAAAATAGTCGGGCCAGGCTTGGTGGCACACACCTTTAATTCTGGCACTTGGGAGGCAAAGTCAGGCAGATCTCTATGAGATTGAGGTCAATCTGGTCTACATAGTGAGTTCCAGGGCAGCTGGGGCCCCAGCAAGACCTTGTCTCAAACAAACAAACAAAAATGAAAAAGAATTGTGGTCTACTTTGTACTGTTCACCTCTTACGGTCACTTTACAAAGCATCAGAAGTGACAGTTACAGAAGTGTAAAAATACAACATGCTGGACTCAAAGAGTGGGGATAGAAGGGGAAGAGAGCTGCAGGAAGGGCTAGTGTATACTTCTTCAATAAACCTAAAGCAAGTTAAGAGATCCTGTATGTACTATGCAGGGATCAAAGTTGATTTTCTAGTTATTGAGACCCCATCCTGAGATCTCACAAAAAGAGCAGAGTTGTCAGGGAAGCAAATCTGGAATCAGAATACCAGGGTTTAACTAGCAGCTCTAGCACCTTAAGTAGAAGAATTAAAAGTAAATTTGGGTCAACAGAGACTTGGAAGAGGGAGGTAGTGGTTTGAAAAAGTTTATCTTCTCTATTAAAAGGAGAGATCCATAAACACTGTTTAAAAGTGATATCAACAAATGAGAGGTCAAGTCATGGACAATTAAAAATAGGCCTACTTAAGTATAGTTGTCCTGGAGTTGAGCTCTGGCTGGGGAGCCTGTCAGTTTTGAGATTTTTATTACCATAAATGTACATTCCTTTTATTAACCCTTTGCCAATTTTCTTGAGGTACAGCTGAGAAGTAATAAACTTGACATATCAAGTGCACAACTTGGTAAATTTTGCATTTGTGCAAATTTTTGTCCCCCAAAAGTTAGATTTAAGCTTCTTAATCTAAAAATTTTATGTTTAAAAATTAGTGGCTTTAATTATTTTTGTATATTCTTTTAATTTTTCCTTATTTTTCAGAGATGATTTTTGAAGCCTGTGTTCCTAGGCATGTGGTTTCTCCTTCCTTAGTAAATTCAGAAAGCTACCGAGAACCTCCGGTAATTTTGTTTTGATGGTGTATTTCTCATTCAACACCTGGTGGTCACATGCTAGTGTTGTAGATTTTGCCGTGGGGTACAGAGACATTAAAGTGCTCCCCAAATAGTTTAAATTGTGTGCTTTTCTGGTTTGTCTCTGTGTGTGGTACTTCCTGCCCAAGGACTTTCTCTATACAGAAGCTGCCTGTTCACTTAGGATTCTCAGGCCATAGGATTAATCTTGCAAAAGTCAGTGTCTCCTGGTTAAATAAAGTGTGATCTCACCTCCCCTCTAGGGCCAGCCACTGCCTTTTCCTCCCTGGACCCTCTCTCCACTGCCTGCATCCATCCTGACTCCAGTGGGGTAATCATATCTGGAGTTCCAAAGTAGGAATTGAAAATGTAATTTAATAAAAGCCAGGTTAAGCTCTGTGATCACCTCATTGTTAGGATGCTGTGAGCACCTACATAGCTAAACTGTGTTCTATCTAGGTCCAGTGTAGGTAACTCCCTTTTATATCATCGTTTCTATATGAAAAATACCTTCAATTTTACAAATAGAAGCACACATATACTTTTCAAACAAGCCTGTTCATGGTAGCTTGTAAGAGCTCTTGTCAGAAGGAATTTGTGTTCAAAATAGATTGAGGTGAGGATGATGCATTTTGCCAAATCGTAGACCTCCCTGAAAATTCCAGGACAAATATGTTAGGAATGATTTGATATTGAGTGAAACTTTGAGAGTAAATGCATTATAGAGGCTTGCATTTTTTGGGAACTAGGCTGTTGAACCTAATAACATCTTTCACAGATCAGTAGTAATGTTTCCATGATGATGATGTTCTGTATTTTAACTAACAGGTTTTCAGGAGGCCTGATACAAGGGTAAGGATACTTGGCTTTTGGCAAATGGACCTCCTACTTGTGTGTGTCTATGCCTTATGGAACACTTGGTCTGTTTAGTGTCCTTTACCTTCTCACTGCTTTTTATGAATCACTCTGATCAATTTGCTCGGCTGTGTCATAGCTTAAGTGTTCACTAGAAATGCTTTATTTGTTACAATGTTTTTTTTTATGTGCAGTGAAAGCCTACCTGTGTGAGGGCAGGATGGGAAAACTGTTGCCAGTGAGCTGTACTGGCTTTCCTCTTACCACATGATTTCTGATCCAACAGATGTTCATAGCAGGGGCCAGAAGTCTGGGCCTACGTAGGCCTTTTCAAACTTTACTTATTGTGTGACTCATGCTGAAGAATTTTGCAACCAAAAAAGTGGTCATTTGTTAATCCGATCCAAGTAAAATTTTGAGCCGTGCTGTGTTTGCATGTTCAGTCAAAATAGAGTTTAAGTGCTAACCTTGAAGCAAAATTTAGAAAGATCAATCTATGCTAGCCTAGTGTTTTTAAAAACATAGATATTGTAGAATATAGCCTATATTCTTCGTGATTTTCCTTCCGTCTATTTCAGAGTATTCATAAAGCAAGACAAAGAGTGGTAATTTGCATGCATTTAACTCTTAGTATCAAGCATGGAAATTAAGCTATTTCCATTAAATGGAAACAGTGTGGATTTTCATAGTATGAGTTAATGACTTCAGTTTAAAACTTGTAATCTTATGGAATCCAATGAACTAGTACAAAATAACCAGATTACGTAAAATTCTTCTTATACTAGTTGGTTTACCATCCTAATCTTGTTTTTGCCGTTTTCTTTTGCTTATGGGAATCATCTTTTATTGATTCACTTTGTTAAATATTAGTGTTTGGCTTTACACTTGCATGGACTTTGAAATGCTGTATGAGTTCGTTTTGTATATTCATTAATTTTTCTGTTTCAACATTTTTTAAACACAGAATAATTCTGTTTTCTTTGTATTTAAAAATAAAAATTAAAAAAAAAACTGGATGCATTTAAAAATTGTAATGCCACTCCAGGCATGGTGGTGCACACCTTTAATCCCAGCACTGGGAGGCAGAGGCAGGTGGATCTCTATGAGATCATATCCAGCCTGATTTCCATAGTGAGTTCCAGGCTAGCTGGAGCTACAGAAAGACCCTGTCTTTAAAAAAAACAAAAAAAACACATTGCCTTGATGGGTAGCTATATTGATTGTGAACTGAATTCAATCTGAGCATAAAAATGAGTTCAGTAGTTTTTGAAATTTGTTGACAAAAAATGCGAAGTTCTGAAATAGTAAATTATTTCAAAGCTTTGCTGCTTCTATGGTGGCAAAGTTTCATAAAGTAAAAATGTTAAATTTAAATTTTTCACTCTCGGAGCTCTAATACCACTTTAAAAGGGGTGATAATCTTGTAATCTTGAGTATTCACATTGTTTATACTACCTGCTGAATTAAAAGACAAATTTTTAACGTTTCAAAAACTAATTGATTCTGTAAAGAAATTAAGAATAGTATATCTTGAACCTGTTGCGGTTAAGCACGCCTTTAATTCAGAAGGCACAGGCAGGTGGATCTCTGTGAGTTCAAGGTTAACCTGATCTCCATAGTGAGTTCCAGGCCAGACAGTGCTACATAGTGAGCCCCTGTCTCAAAACCAAAACAGAACAAAAAAGAATACCTTTACAGAGATTGGAAAAAAAAAAAAACATAGAACATGTATCATCTTTCAGTTGTTTCTTTGAAACATCTTGTTGCTACTGTAATTAGAAATATATAATGTGATATTGATTGTAAGTCACAGTAGTCAGTTAGAAATAAGCAGTAAGAAACATAAATATATGTATATATAAAATCTCTAGCATGTTTTATGTGCATGTGGGAAGTGCAATTTGCCCCTGGGCAATATAATAATTCTTTAGAGTATGCAGGTACTTAGTCTAATTAAAATACCTGTGTATGAACTGCTGTTGTATTTTGGCTTGACCTGGCCTTTATCTGGTTTCTGTGATGTGCTTTATTTTCTGTGAGCATATGATGTGCCTGTTACTTTTTTTGCTATTTGCAATGGTGTTGCTTAGCTTTATGAAGACAATGCATTGTTTGAAATCCATGATGCTTGTTTGCTTTTCATTTTCCAATCCCAACACAAACACAGAAAACATTTTAGGCTGAGAATTCTATAGATGGTGTACATGTTATTTCCTTAATGCCAAGAGGGCAAGTGTTGTGATTTGCAAAGCCATGAAAGGTGTATCAACTTTTATACATGCTTACTGTCTCTTTAAAAAAAGAAATTCTGTCCTTTCACCTGTCTGTTTGCACGTGTTTCTTTCTCCTTTCTGCCTTTTCTTGTCCATGCACCTGGTGCTGTGCAGGAGATAGAGGAAGAACACAATGGCTACCCTTCTGAAGCTGAAGCTGATCAGGTGGCAAGTTCTACATGTTAATCTGTTTGTAGCTACAGACCGTGTATCTAGAAGCCATTTCATTTTAGATTTCTAGGCAATAAGCACAGCTTTCCAATTACTTTCACCACTATAATAGTGCTCTCTTGTCTATATTTGGAAGATTCCATTTTGACATTATTTGCAAAAATTGGTTTATCCAACATTTTTTTAGCTAGAAATTTATTCAACCGTACTTCTTGGTTTCTTAGAGTTATTGATGAGTTACTGACCCACGGTAAGATTATGAAGTGTCTTTATAAGGACCTAGAAGGGACAAACACAAATGCCAAGGTTGTGCACTTTGCTTTATTTGAAGTCGCAGGGTCCATGCCTAGCACAATTCCTAGCACCTCGTGTTTGTGGAATGAATACATATATTTTATTTTGATTAATCAAAATACAGAAATCCTATTCTTGAGTGATTGTCTTTGCTGAGTACTTAAGATTTCTCTAGAGTCAGAAAGCAGTAATATTTTCCTTGATGCTGATATAGAAGCTTAATATGAGAATCTTGTGGAGAGTAGCCCTGAGGATATACCTGGCAAGCCCCAGGAGCTTAGCCTTGCCTTTGTCCTCTATCACCTGTCGAGTGCCACTCTATTTCAGTGACTCCTGAAGAACCTTCCAAAGTTCAGTTTGAAAACCACTGCTTTGGGCATGTAGCTGTATATAAGCTGTCTTCCTGGAAGCTAAGTAGAGAGGCCAGGGTCCTGGGTGCCTGGAGTCATCAGGGACAAAGAAGTTCCTCACTTGAGGTTCCCTCTTTCCAGGTGACTATAGTTTGTGTCAAGTTGACAGAAACTAACCAGCATGGCGTGTGTCCACATCATCTAGTAGCATTTATCAGGGCCACAGCAACAAGGTAGAGATGAGCCCATCAGAAGGAATTGCTCAGCTGGGAAACAGTGTGAACAGAGGCACCAAGAGCAATAGATGTGTTTATGAGATCAAATTTATTCCATCCTTTGAGTGTGCTGTTCATAGGTTGGATAAATCAAGGGTCAAATCATGTCCTGTTGCAACCTGGTAGTTGCAGTGAAAGCTTAATATAGCACAAATGTAAGTCCCATTTCCTAACACAGCTTCATAAAGGGAATCTACTCTACTCACCAAAACAATGAGCCTTCTATTCTTCCTTTACTTCCTATGATAAAGCTAAGTGTATTCTTTTCTCCTATGGAACAATCTGAAGCAGTGGGGCCATTTTATTTGTTTTAGTCTAATAGTTACTTCTTCATTTAAAAACTGTCCCAGATTTAATCACTAGTGAAGGTTTTGTCTTATTGTGTTTCACCAATACCTTTATGCCACATACAAATGCACAGATGTTTCCAGTCACATTTGACCATGAATATGGGAAGAAAACCAGTTGGTCCTCAGCACTTGTCTAGCATGCTTGAGGCCCCCTAGGTTTAATACTCAGTGACAGAAAAAAATATATAATGGAAATGACTGTAAAGTCAGACATGGAATAGAAAAAGAAATTCAACTTTGTATGAAAGTCTTAAAAGTAATGTTGAACTGGGGGTGGAACTCAGTGGTCAAGTACCTGTTGAGTATGCACAGTACCCTAGGTTTGATCCCCAGCACTGTAAAACCCAAACTGTACAGATGATTCTATATGTCCCATTGACTGTGTTAATTCCTTTAAACTTTGGTTGAAAAATATCTTAAGCAATCTGTACTAAAAATTCAAATTGAATAAATTGTTTGAATGTAATGATGAGTCCTAATGTAGATATGATTTTAATCATGCACTTTTTGATAAGGAGAGGGCGGGCTGTGTCATTTTTTGCCCTCTGTGCCCTCTGAGTAGGACAAGCATACATTCCCCTGATCAATATTTATCATTTTCCAACCTGTTTTCCACTGAACACTAGAGGGCTTTCCAGCATCAGCAGGTATTCCTTGGAAAAGCAGTCCCCAATTACATGGGTATGAGGTATGTGGTGTACTCTAGCGCCCTGTTGCTGATTTGATGTGCATTTACACATTAAAGGCTGGCTCACTCAAAAAAAAAAAAAAAAAAAAAAAAAAAAAAAAACCACTAATTTATTTTGTTTAACCCAGCATTTCCCAGGCTTTTAACAAAGCCTATTTATATCTCTTGGGAAATTAATGAATTAATGTTCTATGAAACATAGCTTGGTAATTGCTGGAACTTTGATTACCTTATTCTTATTCATGACATATATTGGACATGCCAAGGAGAAAGTTACTGGTTTCCTTGGTAACAGCTCGCAGGGTGGCAGGACCTTTGACTAGGCCCCATGTTTAGACTCCAGTAGTCTGCTTTCCCCTGAGTTATCTGGCCCTGTACAATGCAGCTTATGAGAGCCTGGCTGCAGGGTCACAGCGTCAGCCTGGTCATGGAGATGTGGGCATGAAATGTCCAGCCATCCCAGAAGGCATCCTTCTCCAAGTAGTATTGTCCTCAAGGAACCTAATAACTCATTAGCAGTTTTCTTGGTGATTGTGAAATTAGTGTAAAAGTGAATTGGCTTTCAAGTTGCTCCATAGTGGACACTGAATACAGGTTGAGTATCCTTTATCTAAAGTGTTTGGGATAAGACATGCTTCAATTTTTGGAATTTTTCGTATTTTTGAGTATTTGTCTCATACAATGAGATATCTCAGGGATGGGGCTGAAGTCTAAACATGAAATGTGTATGCTTTTAATACCTCATACACATAGACTAAAGGAAATTTTATACAATATGTTTTAGTTTATGTGTTTTTTTAGTGCAATCTGTCACATGAGGTCAGGTATGGCATTTTCCACTTATGACATTATATTGGCCATCAAAAAGTTTTGGAGCATTTGATATTTGGGATTTTCAGATTATGAGTGTTCAACCTGTACTCTTGTCTGCCAGATGACAGCATCCCACCTCATAGCCTAGAGTAAGTGAGCACTGATGCTCCCATTCTCCATGCCCCCATTATAACACACACACACACACACACACACACACACAGCTGGGCTACCATGCCAAAGCCTAGGTTTTCCTTAGTTATATAACGGCCTGAGACCATTCTCTGGTTATTTTAATTCAACTTCAAGGTTTCCCAAACTGTTTTATAAGCTGGGGCATGGCTACAGCTCACTAAGTACTCTACTTCTAGTGTTTTCTGTTTGTGTTAGTTTCATGCTCAGAAGGGAATCTTCTTGTTCTGACCTTATTTCCAAATTCTGGAAGCACCTTATAATAGCTGTCTGTGTAGTGATTACAGTATCTATCTGTCCTGTCAAGCCATTTCCGTATTAATGCTTTCTAACTGTGAAATGTAAATATGTGGTAACAATTGCTAGAATATGAAGCATGATGTCTTGTGATGCTGAGCTTCAAAATTGTCTTTTAAGGGGGCGGGGGCATACGTTTTGCATGCTTCTGTAGGCTTATTGAAAGATCCCAGAATACCAGCATTCTTTTCCAGTATACAGATGGAAAGTGAGATTTATTCCTGTTTGGTTTCTTGCCAGGCTTTAAGGGATGGAAATAAACTGGCACAGATGGAAGAAGCTCCACTTTTTCCAGGAGAATCAATTAAGGCCATTGGTAAGTTTAATGTATACTCTTTGCTTATAAAACTCTATAAAATGAAGCGGTACTTGTGAACATACGTGATGGATGTGCTGGAGATCAGCTGGACTGACTTAATTAGGGGACATGGGAACTAGAGAAGTAGGTCTCTTCATTCTTGTTAGCATCATCCTGATCTTAAGAGATGGAAGAAGCGGGTCTGATGACACACACCTTTAGTCCCAGCACTCGGGAGGCAGAGGCAGGTGGATCTTGGTGAGTTCAAGGCCACCCTGGTCTACATAGTGAGTTCCAGGCCAGCTAGGGCTACAGGAGAGAGAACGAGAGAGAGAGAGAGAGAGAGAGAGAAAGAGAGAGAGAGAGAGAGAAGGAAAAATGCAAAGGATTCAGGTAAGTGGCAGTTGAGTGTTAGTTGGAATCACTCAAAGAAGGGCCCACCTGTTCCTGGGAAACTGAAAGCTGATTAGATGCCTAGTGTAATGCCAGCTCACTGCTTTGTACTGAAGACCTCAATAACATACCTTAGTAACAATTTTGAGAACTTGGTAAAGAAGCTTTATTGGCATCTCAGATTCCCCAAAGTGTAAGTGGAGGGGAATGTGCTCCATCCTAGATTATAAAGGTGATAGCATGAAGGTTCCCATATCTTGCCACTATAGATTGCTAGCTATCTCAGAAGGTAGTTGGTGGGAGAGAGGGGCAGCTGGCAGCTCATCAGTTGGCTAGACTGGACGCTCTGTTTTCCTAGGCTATTTGCTTCTTCCTTCATGATTCTCTCCCAATATACAATTCAGTCTCAGTATAGTCATCTTATACTAGGAACATTTGAGTGGCTTGGCTGTCTTACTAGAACCTCCAAGTAGCTGCTGTTGAAATACCCTAGTCAATGCCTGTGGTCTTAGCATTCTTCATTATCCAATTCTTGATTTTGAAATTTTTTTAGCTTCTGGGTCTTCATTCTCTCCTGTGATCTCTCTGACTCTTCCTTCTCTGGATATTTGTCTAGCTTTGCTCTTTGCTATCTTCCAAATGATCTCTTTAAAATGCAGAGCTAGTTATGGTATGCCCTACTTCTCCAGATAGTAATCTACACAGATTTAAAGTGTCCAATGTGAAGACAGTTGGTTCACTTAACTTTTATCTTTGTTAGTAGTCCAGAGTCCACTTAGAAGAGATTAGAGCTGGTCTAGGTGATTGATCAGTTTCCACATCAGACTCCCATTTGTGTTAGAGGGAGTACTGTATAATCTTGGATTGCAAGCACATAGTTGTCTTCGTAAGAAGGCTTCAGGGTACCCATTTGTGGCACTGGTGCCCTTTCTTTCCTGTGTCCACCTCCTTTCACTCTAGAAATGAAGCTTATAATAGGAGGCTCCCACCTGGCTCCACTCCTCTACCAGGTTTTGGAAGTACCTTAAAGTTATATGTTAGAGACATCTGCACATCCTTAAGCAATGTAAGCATGCTTTAAGTTCTTCTAGTGGCTTGCAAAGGGTAAGTTAATTATCCCCTACTTTTAAATAAAATATGATCCTGAAGGAAAAGTATTAAAGTAAGTCATTATAAAATAAAACACTCCTTATGGAGTATTTTTTTAGAACATGAAGAGTTTTGACACACTATACACCTGGGAAGCCATTGTCACTGTTAAGGTAATGAACATGTCTATCACCCCCAGCAATTTCCTTATGTCCCTTTGTCATCTCTTCTGTTCATTCCTCCCATCCCCAAGTGATGTAAACTAGTTTATATTTTCTAGTGCTTTCTGGAATGAAATTATAGTATATTTTTCCTAACTTCTTTCCGTCAATTATTTTGGTATTCACCCATAGTGTAGTCATTCCTGTTTTTCTTATCATTATTTTGGTGCGCGCGTGCGTGCGTGCGTGTGTGTGTGTGTGTGTGTGTGTGTGTGTGTGTGTGTGTGTATTTGCTGAATAGCATTTCATTCTATGGATCCATTCGTCTGCTGGTAGACATTTGGGCTGTTTTTACTGCTTTTGTATCATACTAAAACCATTATGAACATTTCTGTGCAAGTGGTCACCTTTCTCTTGGATAAATGCCTAAGGAATAGAACAGGTCATTTTGTAAGTGTACATTTAACTTGGGAAACTGATTGTAGCCAGGCATGGTAGCGCCGGCTGCAGGCGGATCACTGTGAGTTTGAGGCCAGCTTGGTCTACATAGTGTGTTCCAGGCTAGCCAAGGTTGCCTAGTGAGACGCTACCTCAAAAAACAAACAAACAAACAAAAAACCCCAAAAGTGTTTTAGTTCTTCCTTTCTGATCTGAGTGCCTGTTCTTTCATTGTTTCTTGCTTTATTTCTGTTGTTTGAACCTTCACTAACAACTTTAGGAGCAAGGCTGGAAGCAGACCTTCTAATCTTGAGAAAGTGTTCAGATTTTACCATCAAGTATGATGTTAGCTATAAGATTTTAGTGGATTCCTTTATCATATCAGGGAAGTTTCTTTCTACTTGCTACTGAGAGTTTTAATCAGGAATTGGATTTTGTCAAATGTATTTTTGGTATCAATATAATAGGACATTTCTTTAGCTTATAATGGGATAGATTCCCTCAATGAATTTTGGATGTTTAATCAACTTATTCCCAGAATAAATAAACTCTACTTTTTTTATTTGGTCTTTTGGAGATAGGATCTCCCTGTAGCCCCAGCTGGCTTAGAACTTGCTATGTAAACGAGGCAGGCCTCACAGAGATCTGCCTGCCTCTAGCTCCTAGAATGCTGGGATTAAAGGCATGTGCCACCACACTGGCTAAACGCTACTTTCTTATTATGTATTACCTTTTTGTGTATTTTGGGGTTTGATTTACTAGAATTGTGTTTATGACAGTCATTGGCCTCTAGTTTTCTTGTCTTGTAATGGCTTTGTCTTGCTTAAACATTTGGTAGTATTTACCAGCAAAGCTATCTGGACTGTGAATTTTCTTTGTAAGAAGGTTGTAACTACAAATTGGATGTTTTCAGTAGTTCTTAGATAATTTAATCTTGGTACTTTATATCTTTCTAGGACTTTCCCCATTGAATGGAAGCTGTGAAATCATTGTCAAAATGTTATTTATCATATTCCTTTCTTATTCCTTTCATATCTGTACACTTTATAGTGCTGTTGCTTTCTCATGTTTCCTAGTTCTCATATACATGTTCTCTCTCTTTTTATTCTTCAGATCAATCTGACTAGAAAGTTTATCAAGTTTATTAATCTTCTCAAACAATTAGCTTTTCTTTTCATTATTGTGGGCTTTTTTCTATTTCATTCATTTTCACTCTGATATCTTGCTTGGTGTCATCTGCTTTCCTTGTGTGTATTCCTTCTTCCTCTCTTTGATCAAGTGGGAGCTGTGCTCATTGATTTGAAGGCCTTGTACTCTTCTAGTTTGGGTATTTAGGTTTTCCTCCAAGTACAACTTCCCACCACCTCATCAGTCATGACTTTGTTTTCATTTTCATCAGATTCAGTGCTTTGGATTTCTTTTTTGACCCTTAGATTACTTAAGAGTGTGTTGTTTATCCCAGGATTCAGGAGGTGGAGTCAGTAGGATCAGGAAATCCTCAGCTATATAGTGACTTTGAGGACAGTCTTTGCTATATGAGACTTAGTCTAAAAAACAAACAAAACAAAAAATACCACCACCACCAAAACAAATGTGTTGTTCACTTTTATGCATGTTTATGAATTTCTCAAATCTAAGTTCATTCCATTCATGTTCAGAAAACATACTATATATATTTTTTTTCCAAGATTTGTATTGTGGCCCAATATATGACCTTTGGAATAGTCTGCATACTCAGAAATAATGTGTGTTCTGCTGTGACTAGAGTCATAGAGCTGCCAGTTAGGTTGGCTTTGTTGGTACCATTCAAGCCTTCTGCATCTTTACTCATCGTGAACTTCTAGCTATTATTGAGAGGGGTTTTGATCTCTGACTATAATTCTGGATGTCTGTCTCATTGCAATTCTGTCGCTTTTACTTAATTAGTTTTGAAGTTCTAGGTACATAAATGTTTATAATTATGTCCTCTGAAGAATTGATTCTGTGGTTAATAGAAAATTACCATCTTTATTCCTGGTAATATTGTCTGTGCTAAAATGTACTTTGATATTATTATAGATATTATTTATAGCTTTCTTTTGATTCATATTGACTTGACATACATATTTTCATCCTTTAAATTTCAAAGAATTTGTCTTTTTTTAAAGATTTTTTTTTTTTAATTAGCAAACAAAATAATGGGCTTCATTATGGCATTACAGTCTGACCTTGAACTCTTCTTGGTCCTTCTAGCTCTACCTTCTGAGTGCTGGGATTATAGGTGTGCAGCACCACACCTGGCTTCTGAGGTACTGGGGAATCAAACCAAAGGTTTCATCTATGCTAGGCAAATACTCTACCAGTTGAGCTATATTCCCGGCCCCATGCTTTGTTTGAAGCTTTGTTGATCCTCTTCCCCTGTATTGCTTCTCCATTGCTTAGTCTCCATCCTTTTGGTGCCTTTTCTGCCCCACTAGGCCCCATTCTGTTTCATGTCATATGTATTGTTACCATACTTTTTCCACTTAAACCCTTAAGACCTCTTTTCCCCCACCTCTCATTTCCCCTTTCTAGTTTATGGCCTATACCCATACCTGCCCACACTAATACACATATATAAAAATTAAAATCTAGGATCTACATATGACAGAAAGTGTACACTGTGTTTCTGGGTCTGGTTTATTTCACTTAATAATCTCCAGTTCCATTCATTTTCCAATGAGTATTATGATTTCATCTTTCTTCATGGGTAAATGAAATTCCATTCTGCACATGCACCATATTTTCTTTATGTGTGAGCCACATACTATTGAGATTTTTTTTTGTCCCCAGTCTGACAATCTCTGCCTTTTAATTGGGATGTTGGGCTCATTAACATGTTATATTAATATAATTAAGTTTAAATCCACCATCCTATTGTTTTCTTTTTGTCTCATTTAGTTTTTGCTCTCTTTTCTC